GACATATGGCAAGAAATCTGTAGACGCGCCCATAACAACAAAAGACAATACTTTATTGAACCTTTTCTGATAAGAAGTGTGCGCTGCAAACGCGAGCATTTTTGACGATCGTTTCTGTTCAGTCTGCTCGTTTTATCGCGTTTAACCACAGCTGTCATCGGTTCTTTGTCTGGCAGTGGCAGCAGATATGCGATCAGATTTTTAATTTGAGGTTGTATTACGTAGATTCTGGCACCCAACATCACAAGATGATATTTTAAGCTCCTTATGTAGCCGAATCTGCGCTGGTTTGAATGAGTCGCCTCCAGTTTCCCCTTTGTTTTGCTGCCTCCAGCTAGCGCTGTGACGTCGGCTGACCCTAGTTACCTGTGGTTGGCCTGGCCGTGCGTCACTCAGAAAACAACAGGCCAATCAGAAGAGAGGCTCATGAATATTAATTAGACAGGTCAAAATCTGTTCTCAGCAGAGCTCCTGAGAGAGGAGCTGTAAAAATATATTGAGATGGTTTTTGGTACTTATACCGCAAGTATATATTCTTAAGGACATCATGATAAATAAATAAAATAAATAAAACTCCAGAAAGGTGTAAAATATGTGACCTTTAATAGTAATGACTTTATGAATTTCTTCACTGATAAAATAAATAACATCAGAAATACAATAACAAATGTAGATTCTACAGCGTCTATTACTTCAGCTTCATTCATCGCACCCAAAGAAAAACTGCAGTGCTTTACAACTAGTACTCATAGATTGATTACAAAACTATACGGGTATTCAAGGGCAGGCTTTAAGATGGTTTAGATCCTACCTGTCCGATCGCTACCACTTTGTTTATTTAAATGGGGAGTCATCTCAATTATCACCAGTAAAATATGGAGTGCCACAAGGATCTGTCCTAGGTCCTCTGCTATTTTCAATATACATGTTGCCCCTTGGTAATATTATTAGAAAATACGGTATTAGTTTCCACTGTTATGCTGATGATACTCGACTATATATCTCATTCTCAACACGACCAGATGAAACTTCTAAATTATCTAAGCTAACATAGTGTTAAAATATAAAAGATTGGATGACCAATAATTTTCTCCTATTAAATGCAGATAAGACAGAGATATTACTTATTGGACCAAAAGACAGTACACAGAATCTCTTGGATTACAATTTGCAACTAGACGGATGTACTGTTACTTCCTCTACAGTCAAAAATCTGGGTGTTATATTAGACAGCAACTTGTCTTTTGAAAATCATATTTCCCATGTTACAAAAACAGCATTCTTCCATCTTAGAAACATTGCCAAGCTACTAAACGTGTTACCTGTTTCTGATGCAGAAAAGCTAGTTCATGCATTCATGACCTCTAGACTGGACTATTGTAATGCACTGCTAGGTGGTTGTCCTGCATCCTCAATAAACAAGCTACAGGTAGTCCAAAATTCAGCGGCTAGAGTCCTCACCAGGTCAAGAAAATATGATCATATTACCCCAATTTTACAGTCTCTGCACTGGCTACCTATTAAGTTCCGTATCAGTTACAAAATATTATTACTTAGGCCTACCTATAAGGACCTTAATGGTTTAGCTCCTACGTACCTAACTCATCTTCTACCACGCTACAATCCATTAGGGCCGTGTATCACCAGCATAGTCACGATACGATACATATCACGATACAGAGGCCACGATACGTATCACAATTAGGGCTGGGTATCGAGTTTGATACTTTTTAGGCACCGACCAAATTGCCTCGATACTATCGAGTATCGAAAAACGTCTGGTCGTTCGGTACCAAATTTCGATACCTAAGGGGTTAATCTCATCAGCGTCAGTGAGGCGCAGCTCGATCAGTATTTGACATCCGCGAGAGCGATGCGAAAATGTACAGAGCAGTCTGCTCGTGGTATCTTACTATAGCCTAATACACCGATAGGTCTGCGACTGTGACACTCAGAGATGTGGCTCACACGTGAGTATTTAGTGTGAATGCGTCCCAGCCCCCGTAGCTGTAAGGCTACATTTACACTGGTGCGCTTTTGTTTTAAAATGAAAACAATCCTCGTTTTACTGCCGTTTCCACTGCGTTTCAAGCCTGCTTTCCACTATCTCCGACAAATGACAGACCGAAAGTCATTCATTTCCAATGGAGAGTAGCGCGGGAGCTGTGTAGAGTTCCAATCATATGCAGATGTCTGTTCATACTACAATACCGAAAGCGAGTGTTATGTGACCATTCATGCACACTGTAGCATCATGCTAAGTTACATAAGACCAGGGTTTAAACTGGGCCGGGGGCCGTCTGGGGCTAAGCCCCGGCACATAGACTACAGGGCTTGACATTAACGCTTCATTAACGC